GGTAAGTAGAACATCGCGCGCCGAATATGTTGTAAAAAAAATGCTTTTAAAAGGTAAAAAAAAGACTCTGACGATCGTGAGGAACAGCTGTGATTGTCAGAGCCTTTTTTTTACTTTTAAAAGCAAAAAAGCAAAACGTTCTGCACATGCGCAGAGGGTACAAAACACATTACTTCCTGGTTAAAACCAGGAAGTAACGACAATCCGGCAGGTGGGCGGAGCCTCGTGCCGCAATCGCTACCAGTTCTCCGAACCACCCCACACGATCGCTACCGGATTGGGCGATCGGGTCCAAACTGGGAGCATTTCACCCCTGAACTCAACCTATCCAGGACAATTAAAAAACATGGATTAACCCAAGGACAGTGGTGGGATTTAAATAATTTAACAACCGGTTCTCTGCCCTAATGACCAGCTGGGTAGGCGTGGCTTGGTGGTCATGTGACTGTGTGGGCGCGACCAACTCAATGTCACTCACATCGATGGGCGCTTCGCCTTAGCTGTTACAATGTAATAAGGGTTAACCAGAGAGGCAGTTTCTGTAAACAGGGCAATAAAGATTAGGCTAGAAACACCACCAGAATGTTCCCTTCCTGCCTTCCTTACAGGATTAGTCCTGTAAAGTGGAAAAAAACAAAATAAGATTTCTTCCAACAACCGATTCTCCAAACTGCTTAGAAAGTTAACAACCGGTTCTCCCGAATAGGTGCGAACTGGCTGAATCCCACCACTGCCCAAGGAGCTCTACTCGCAGCAGAGTTAATAGAGCCCACATCAAATATCATAAAGGAAGAACCTTTGCAATTCTGAGTAGGATTTAAAATTGAAGACGTGAGAATGACCCTCAATTTCGTCAGCAGCTGCTTTTAAACAGCCTTTTCAAGCATAAAGACTAGCATCTTCGAACAATTCACATCTTACAGCTCCCTCTGCTGGCATTTGCAAACAGATTTGCTTTTGCTCATTTCCACTTAAATGCATTGTCACTGACCGCTGACACCCAGATCTAATTCTGTTTGAAATCAGCAAATGGATTGATTGCTGTTTTGCGTTCAAAGCAAAATTAATTGATTATAACGGGAGGAGTTATTTTAGTAAGAAGGAAACCAGACTTGAAATTTTGGGCTTGGACAATCTGGAACTGTGCCGCCTGCGGTAGGATCTAAGCACGGTACACAAAATTGTCTTGCTACAACGTCTTACCTGTCAACGACTTCTTCAGCTTCAACCACAATAATACACGGGCAAACAATCAATACAAACTCAAGGTAAACCGCTCCAAGCTCGATTGCAGAAAATACTTCAGCAACAGAGTGGTCAACGCCTGGAATGCTCTACCTGAGTCTGTTGCTACATCCTCAAACCTTAACACAGCTTCAACCTTAAACTGTCTACTGTGGACCTCACCCCATTCCTAAGAGGTCCATAAAGGAGGTGTGCATAAGTGCAAACAGCGTGCCTACCAGTGGTGGGTTTCAAAAAGTTTTACTACGGGTTCTGTGGGTTTGGCTTGGTGGGCACGGCATAGCTTGGTGGGCGTGGCAGGGGAAGGATACTGCAAAATCTCCATTCCCTCCCCACTCCAAGGGAAGGATACTGCAAAATCCCCATTTCCACCCGATCAGCTGGGATTTGGGAGGCAGAGAATAGATGGGGGCGGGGCCAGTTAGAATTTTTACTACGGGTTCTCCGAACTACTCAAAATTTCCGCTACCGGTTCTCCAGAATTGGTCAGAACCTGCTGAAACCCACCTCTGGTGCCTACCCTCCCTGTCCTACTGTCCCCATTTATTTGTATTCATTTCCCTCGTTCATAGCCATGTTTATATTTATACCTGCTATCTTGTACATGTTTGACAAACTAATAAACACTAATATAAATACAAATACAAATACAATTTAATGGATCCGTGTTTAGCAGAACTTCTGAGGCAAGCTAAGCATCTATGTTGACATTACCCGAAAGTAACAGACAAATCTGTTGCATTCAGAGTAATATAGAGTTTCTTGAGCAGTGGATTGGACTAGAACAGGGATGTCAAACTCGATTTCATTGAGGGCTGCATCAGGGTTGAGTTTGACCTCGTGGGGGGGGGGGTTGTGTGTGTGTGTGTGTGTGGCTGGGGTGGGCGTGGCCAGCTCGACATCATTAGTGTTGGGGGCAGCTGTGATAGCCAAGTGTTAAGGTAGGATTTCCTTCAGACCCTCCCTCCCTCACATTATAATCTTCCTTCCTTCCTTCCTTCCTCCCTCCCTCCCTCCCTCCCTCCCTCCTCTCCTTCCCTTCCTTCTCTCCTTCCTCCCTCCCTTCCTTCCTTCCTCCTCTCCTTCCTCCCTCTCCCTCCCTCCCTTCATTCCTTCCTTCCTTCCTCTCTCCCTCCCTCCCTCCCTTCCTCTCCTTCCTCCCTCTCTCCCTCCCTCCCTCCCTTCCTTCCTTTCTCCTCTCCTTCCTCCCTCCCTCCCTCCCTTCCTTCCTCCCTCCCTCCCTCCCTTCCTTCCTTCCTTCCCTCCCGAGCTCCATTTTCGCAGGCAAAGGCACCGTTTTACTGTTTTTTTCTTTTTTTTTTTTAACAGTTTGTTTATATATTTTCACATTACATACATAAGTGCTTAGTGAACAGCATACTGTCTGGATCAATTTATTTATATATAGTAATACTTTTCCCACTCCTAATTTCTACTTCTGCTATCCAACCATTTATAAAACATGTTCGAAAATATTCTGCATCTTCTTTTTCTTTTATTTTTAGTGTCAATCTGTCCATTTCTGCACAATCTAAAATTTTTAAAAATTACCTCCTCCTCCTTGAGGCCTTGAGTTTGACACCCCTGGACTAGAAAATCTCCAAGATCCCTTCCAACTCTGTTATTCTGTTTTCTGTTAACCCTAATGCTGATTGAGTGATCATGTCATCATATCAGAATTAATTCTTAGTGGCTACATCAGGAGTGAAATGCTCCCAGTTTGGACCCGATCCGGTAGCGATGGAGGCGGGTGGTTCGGAGAACCGATAGCAAAAATCCCTCCCCACCCCCATGCCCAGCTGAGCCGCACAATCATCAGAGGCTTTTTATTTTATTTTTAAAAGCATTTTTTCTACAACCCCTTCAGCCGAAAAAATGCTTTTAAAAGTAAAAAAAAAAAAAAGCCTCTGCCGATCAGGCAAGTCAGCTGGGATCGTCAGAGGCTTTTAAAAGCATTTTTTTAACAACCTCTTCCACCGAAGAGGTTGTAGAAAAAAATGGTTTTAAAAGTAAAAAAAAAAAAAAAAGAGTTGACCACGCCCACTCAGTCATAGCCCCCCCCAAGCCACGCCCACAAAACCGGTAGTAACAAATTTTACATTTCACCACTGAGCTACATAGATTTTCTCCCGGACACTCTGTCCCCAACCTGTTTCTTCATATCTTTCCATGGGACACCTAAACATCAATCAATCAATCAATCAATCAATCAATCAATCAATCAATCGGGAGCTGTCCTCCTGAACCACATTTTCAAGCCAGATTCTTCCATTCTTTGAGCAAAATAGAACCCAGAAAGATTTGTGGCATTTAGCTGTTTAGCAGCTTATTAATAAAAGATTCCTAATAATTATTATTTATTAATCATTTATTAATAATAACCTAACAATAAATTAACACATTAATATTAATTTATTAATTAATAATTAATAATTAATAATAATAATAATAATAATTTGTTAATAATCTTATTAATAAAAGAGACCGGGCAACCATTTGTCTGAAATGCTACAGGGTCTCTCCTGCTCGAGCGGAGGGCTGGACTAGAAGACCTCTAAGGCCCCCTTCCAGTTCTATTATTCTGTGTCCTAGGTTGTCGGAAAAGACTCCAGTAACATAAACAGTATAATTACAATCCACAATATTTCATGTTTGATGGGGGGGAAAAATCATCTCAACTTTTTATTTAAATAACACTTGGCTTTGGTTGGATTCGTCTCCATTCTTTGGGCAGATGAAATTCGGCAAGAACCGAAAAGATATTCCACGTCCTGGCATTGAAATCTCCCATTTTCATAAGGCGAAATCCATGCGTCCACAGCAGAGGTCTTGTTGTGGCTCTGTTATCTGAGCCTGTGTCATCAGCAGGAGAGGACTCCGAGAGTGAAGGAAAGGAGTTGGCAAGGCCTCCCTCTCCAGGACCCTCCTCTCTGGCAATGCCTTCGGTGTCCACCGAAGGGCAAGAGATAGGGCCGGGGCCAAGCATGTCCACGCAGCCACAGATGGACAGTGATGAGGGTAATGAGTCTTGGCTGGATCCATGCCAGCGTCGCAGAGATAAGCGTCCGCAACAGAAGAAAGGGCGTGCCCGAGATTAGGCTGAGTCACTGGACCACACCCCACAGGATATAAAAGGGAGCGTGGTGGCCAGTCAAACCTTGTGATGAACAAAGCTGAAAGCTTCCACGCCATTCTGCATTGCTGGACTTTTGGCTATAGACTTTGCTGGATTATCTCTGGACTTGATTGACTCCGTAATTATTGAGCTGTTTCTTTTGATGTACCAGAAGTGGGGAGAAGTTATCTCTCCTCTTTGTAAATAATAAACTCTTGGCAGGCAGCCACTAGGTTGTTGCCAAGTTCCGTTATCATAAGGAAAAGGATTTTGCTGGCTGGTTTGGTCTTTAACTCTTGAACATCTGTTGGTGTGTGTGTGTGTGTGTGTGGTTGGGGACAGAACAGGTCTTCAAAGAGCTATGCTGGCTGGAGAATTCTGGGAGTTGAAGTCCACAAGTCTTAAAGCTGCCAAGTTTGAAGACCTCTGGTCCACAGGGAACGTTAAAAACGGGCTTAAATGAGGTCATTGTTCGATAGCTGCAAAGGGCACAACTAAGGCAGGAGTGGGAAACCTGTGCTCTTAGCAGCTTTAGCCCACCTAGCGAGGGATGCTGGGAAATGTAGTCTGATGTTAACTACAGGACCATCGGCTGCCCCAATGAATGAATTGTACAAATAGTTCAATGATGAAAAGACTCTTTGGGATTAAAAAAAATCTTTTAATTGGGGAATTTTATGGGTAAGGGGTTTTAAATTGGGGAAGCCAAAGATAAATTTAATTTTGTTTTAAAGTATTTTAATATTTGTATTGTGTTTTTTTAATTTTGGCTGTTCACCACCCTGAGTCCTTCGGGAGAGGGGGCGGTATAAAAAATTTAAAAATAAAATAAAATAAAATAAATAAAAGAAAAAGAAACTGGATCCACTATATCTTTCCTCTTTTATATAACAGATCATACAACTTAACTCTTTGACAAGTCACATTTTTTCCCCCACTGACTGCAACATCATTGACCACTGCTGGTAAGAGTCAGATGGAGAAACACAGAACGGTGTTGAAATCAGGAACCACAAATAGAACAAGATGTTTTGGAACCAAATATGTAGATGCCATTTTTTTTTAGTCTTCAAGTACAAAGAGATCAATATGACCTTCCTATGTCTGGAAGATGCAAGGTTCTTTTGACCTGAGGCCATCGTTACATTAGAACGGTGATGGCGAACCTATGGCACGCGTGCCGGAAGTGACATGCAGAGCCACATCTCCGGGCATGTGAATGTTGGTCGTTGATCTTCCAGGTTTCGGCGTACCAGCCAGTTGGTCTTCACACGCGCAGAAACGCTGGAAACCGGAAAAGCAGTTTCCTGGGGCGCATGCGCACGCCGGGAAGTTGATGTTCTGGTTTCCAGCGCATGCATGCGCATGGGCCAGCTGATCTTCACACGCGCATGTGTGCCAGAACCTGGAAAACCAGGTGGCCGGTGCATATGTGCGTGCCGGAAACCGGAAGATCATCTTCCTGGCACACGCATGCGCACCGGGAGGCTGCTCTTCCAGTTTTTGACATGTGCGCAGGTGGGGTCCCGTTTCAGTACTCGGTGCCAAAAAGGTTCGCCAACACTGCAATAGAATCTCTCGCTGTTTAGCAATCTTGAGAAGCTCATTGAACCTAGCTTCCAAATATCCGTAAACTTGGTTTCTCTTATTCCAACAATCGATAAAACACAAGAGGGAGCATTTTTAATACCCTGCTAATTTTTCATCCTGAACTAATATAAGCACCCATACGAAACCGGAAATCATGTAAGAATGAAAATCTTAAGCTAGAGAAGCTTTTGTAGATGTATCGGATAACGTCTGCCCATACTTCAAATCGATTAGACCAACGGTTTCAGAAGGTTGACTTGGAGATGCAACTCACAAATCCAAGGTTCTCATTTATCTCTTTGATGTCTAACAACCTTCTCTTTCATACAAACTTTGAATCTGGATGAAATTGTTCTTCCAACAATTCGGAAGACAATTCTGGTGGGACATATTCTGGACTTTTTTGCTGTCCAGATCTATTAGACCTCCCAGGAGGAAACCCAAGATAGCTGCTTCTGTCTCACTCATGATGTCAGAGGAAGACGAGAACATGGAGCTGCTTTAACGGATATGATATGGATTACAGTCCTATAACCATAGGATTTTGCATAATCTGCTCACTCACGCTCCATTAGGTCGTATTTTTTCTGAGACAAGGTCTTTCAGACCTGCTGATCTAGGGCCACCATTGTTAACAATGGGCTTGGCCACTGGGGGTGACAAGAGTTGTAACTTAAAAAACCTGAAGGACCTCAGGTTATGAAAAACTGATGGGTTATATATTGTCGGTAACTGGCCAGTCGTCCACCCCATTGTTTTTTAAGAGAACTGGTCCAACATTATCGTACAGGTGTACCTATATGTTCATAATTGTAATATGGGTAAAATGGTCGCCTGTATGTAGGTGCACTAGAACGATATGCCAATCATTCATGAATTTGCGAGATTTTGCAGGAGGCCTCAAGGGAAGGAGGGGAACTTTGCTGATCTCAATGGAAATCTGATGAATTCCTTGCTATTCTTTTGTTCATTGCGTGAGGATTCTACAACCAGAACTTGGCCAAACTTTGACATGCATACATCACCTGAGAAGCACGGCTAAATCATTATGAGATCTACCTTATACATCCGAAGAAAACCAAAGTAAGAAAATCCATCATCAAGGGGATTTTAAAATTATAGAACGAGCAGCTCGCACTAAATCTGGGATTTTTTTGTGTCTGGAGAACACTCACAATGACGGCCTCAAAACTCCTCAAAAGAGGATCCAAACATACGTTCGAATTCTATACGTTTTTGCTGTAGTCCAGGTGATCATCATGAATGTTGGAACAAAAAAATTTTTGGATGTGTGGTGGGAGAGAGTATGGGTGAATCCTTGCATTTCCTCTCACACAGGAAGATCACCAGGAGCAAGCTCTGGTTGCATATTTTGGGAGTGTGCCTGCGATGTAATAACATTTTTGCTACAAAAGACCCTGTAGCCAGAGTCAGAATATTTAAACTGCTCCTAAGGTCATCTCACACAATGGACCCTGATCTCTCCAGATATACTGGATTTCTATAATTCCCAACTAGAAAGCCAACATGGGTCTAATGTTGGCTAGAACATCAATACATGGGGATGGAGAGAAGAATAGCATCTAATCAAAGAGGTGAAACATACGCCAACCGTCTGGGAAGAAAAGATTAGCAGATGGCTAGTAAATCTGGAGCTAACAGGTTAATGCATGGACTTTCATCATTCCATAGCTAGTATGTTTTTTCCTGGGATTCTGCTTTTCATTTCTCCATTCTGAAATCTTGACGTCTCCCTCTAAGTCTGCGGATGTGTTTATAAATCGGTGTAGGCCGGATCCAGGTCCATCCTGTGAGCTTTTCCAAAGATGAGGAACGTGGAAAGTCCAAGGGCATTCACGACGGCCACGAGATTGAAAACAGAGACCCAGGAGCCTGTGTTTTCGATGAGGTGTCCAGCTAGGTACACGCAAACGACACCTGGGTGCAGAGAGAGAATACACCAAAGTGAGTGTGCTGTCTCTCTCTCTCTCTCTCTCTCTTTTAAACAATCTTGTTTCAACCCAGAAATTCAAACTTGGGGCTATTTCGTTGACAACCAACAAGTTTAGATTACCACAACTCACTCCACCTGGGGTTCTCCTTGGAGACTACTCAGAAACTGCAACCAGTGCAGAATATAATTGCTCACCCATTAATGCAGGGGGGGGGGGTCAAACTCGGTTTCATTGAGGGCCACATCAGGGTTGTGTTGTTGAACTTAGGGGAGAGCGTGGCCAGGATGGGTGTGGCCAGCTCGAACATCATTCGTGTCAGGGGCACCTGTGGTGGCCCGAGTGATATGCCAGCGAAAACGGGCTCCCAAGCTCCATTTTTGGCTGCAATGGCTAAACCCTCTGCCAGCAAAAAAGGAGTTTGGGAGGGCCATACGGCCTTCCCAAGCTCCATTTTCGCTGGCAGAAGCACCACGGGCAAGTCCTTCGTTGTTTCCACAGCAGCCCTGTGCGCCAGATCTAAGCACCCTGCAGGCCAGATTCGGCCCCCGGGCCTTGAGTTTGACACCAATGCATTAATGCGAGCAGTCTAACATTGTCACATTGTCACATTGTCACAGCAGTACCACGAGACTTGTAGGAGTGGGTGGTCTGTTTCTGGGTACAATTCAGGATGCTAACTACAGCTGATAAAGTTTGGGGGAGTTGGTTATCTTCATGAACATTTACACCACCTAGAACAAGGTTTCCCAGTCTTGGCCATTTTAAGACCTGTAGACTTCAACTCCCAGAATTCCCCCGCCAGCATACTAATAATGAGGTGTACAGCCAATAAAAGGAGGAAGTAAAAAATATTAAAGGGGGTTAATAACAGGAGTGGGCTGCTCAGGGTTTGCAGAGGTTTGGGAGAACCTCTAGCTAAGATTCTGTGCAGTTTGGAGAACCCCCAAATCCCACTCCTGGCTGGCCCCACCCCGTCCACCTCGCCCCGCCCCTCCTAAGAGTCCCCACATGGCCTGTTTTGGATGCAGGTAAGTACAGGGTGCACACGGAGGCTTGGGGAGGGCGAAAAACGGGCCTACTGGAAGTTTCTGGCCTCCAGAGGGCCTCTGGAGCCTGGGGAGGCCATTTTCATCCTCCCGGAAGCTAGAGCCCAGGGAGGACAAACACCACCACCCCGCCGTGGCCACACCCATCCAGCAACCGGGGAGAGAACCCCTTGCTAAAATTTTTGAAACCCACCTCTGGTTAATAATAATATTGCAGACATACCCTTTGGGTTAATATACATACACATTAGGCAAAAAAAAATCCCCCTTAGTAGTCTGTTTGTTATTTCCTAGCTGTGGACTGAAAGTGAATTCCATAATCCATCCAGTTGGTCCTGGGGATACAAGTATAGCTGAGAAACAATTAGGGGGAATGATGAATTGTTTGAAATACCATAATAACCTACCTAGTAAAGCTCCACCTGTGTTTGCCACACCTAAGGAAAGATAAAGAAAGAAGATGAGGTATAAATTCAAAAAGTATTTGATGTCCTTCCAGTATGATATCTCACCAGAGCCCAGGGCAAGAAATAATGGTTGGAAACTAATTAAGGAGAGAAGTTACTTGGAATTAAGGAGAAACTTCCTAACAGTGGGGACAATTAACCAGTGGAACAGCTTGCCACCAGAAATCATGGGTGCTTCATCACTGGAGGTTTTTAAGAAGAGACTGGACAGTCACTTGTCTGAGATGGTATAGGTTCTCCTGCTTGAGCAGGGGGTTGGACTAGAAAACCTCCAAGGTCCCTTCCAACTTCTCTTCTCTTCTCTTCTCTTCTCTTCTCTTCTCTTCTCTTCTCTTCTCCTCTCCTCTCCTCTCCTCTCCTCTCCTCTCTTCTCATCTCTGCCTCCATCAAGAACACTGCCATCTTCTTGAGACTTTGAAGAGTTTCTTCCTCTGAATTTATCACTCCACTTTTCTTTCATTTATCTCTCTTCCCCTTCTTCATCGGGACGTTTCCATGAATGGTTATAATTCCTCTCCTTTCGGCCCTACAAATAGTCCTGATAATTTTTGCTACCCTCAAGCCATCACTGATAATCTATATACTGCTAAAACCCTCTTGTCTGTTTGTCTGTAACTTTCAATGGAGAGATAAGGTGTATCATAAGGGCAACCATTTTTTAATCAATTGTTTGGCTGAGACAAAGAGAATTGAGACTTGTCCTTTTCGCCAGCTCTTTTCACTCAAATCCCTCTGATTAAAATCATCAGAAGGGAAAGGATGTCTCCCTATGATTTCATTATTTCCATTCATTCGTTCGTTCGTTCAGAGACGTTCATTCACACCCTGCAAGGAAATGTGTATCATTCAGATCTTAAAGCATGATGTAAAGAAAGCAGGTGCGTATGACTTTTGTGGCTTAACAAAGATTAGTTACAGGCTCTCTAATTATTCTTGACCCATGATAATTACCGGCCAGGATGGCTAAAGTATGTTTGGCTAAGAAACTGAGCTTATCAATCGAAAGGTCAGCAGTTCAGCGGTTCAAATCCCTAATGCTGCGCATTGAGGTGAGCTCCCATTACTTGTCCCAGCTTCTGCCAACCTAGCAGTTCGAAAGCATGTAAAAATATGCAAGTAGAAAAATAGGGACCACCTTTGGTGGGAAGGTAACAGCGTTCCATGCGCCTTTGGCGTTTAGTCATGCCGACCACATGACCACAGAGACATCTTCGGACAGCGCTCTTTAGCTTTGAAACGGAGATGAGCACCGCCCCCTAGAGTCAGGAATGACTAGCACATATGTGCAAGGGGAACTTTTAATAATCCAAATTTTCACAGAAAGTCAGAACCTTTGCAATTACAAAAAAAAAAAAAAAAATTGGGTACAAGGCCACATGCTGATCCCTTTCTGGCAACTTTGCCTTCAGATGATATTTTGTGGTGAAATAATTAGAGTGATTTTTCCTGACTGAGTAAAAAACAAGGATCTCAGAAACAGCTAACTGAATATGACGATCTCAAAAGCTAAGAAGGATTAAGCCAGGTTAGCATTTGGATGGGAGCCGAATCAGGAATCCCAAGGCATAATCTTCACTGGGAAATTGGAAAACCATCCCAGAAATAGAAAGCCAGTTCCATAATTGTTGCCAGGAAAACTATATGGACACAACCGTGAAGTCATCAGGAGTCCCCCACTTGATTTGATAATATATCTTATAATAAAAAAAAAAGTAATTTTTGCTCACCGAACAATAAACCAGCACACGAAGGAGCCAGATCTTGAATATTGACTGAGATGCCACTGTAGAAAAAAAAAATAAAGATGACTACAACCAAAACTCAATTAGCAGTTAATTTGGCAGCATTTGAAATGAGTTAAAAATTTGATTGTTGTCTTTAAACGTGTATATATTTTATATCTCTCCAGCCTTGGTGCCAACACCAAGGCTTTATGTACCAGTGTTTTTCATACTTGGCAACTTTAACATGCATGGACTTCAACTCCCAGAATTCCCCAGCCAGCCTCCACATAAGAAGTTGGGGTGCTTACCTGTGGTTGAAAGTCTGAAGTCCAATGCTGGCTGAGGCGAAGGCCACTGCTTGGCAAAAGCTGGTGGAGTAACCTATCCCTAAGGCAAAAAGACTGGATACCCCGGAGCCAATGACCTCAAAGGAAATCAAAAGAGAAAATTTTGGTTTAATGTACTGTGTCAGCATTCTGATGCTGCCATAAAAAGACGAGGCTTGACTTTTCACCTACTTATTTTCTCTGTAGATAATATCCCCTAGGAGATGGGACGGGAGGGGGGAACATTCCTGTGGGGTGAGGTCAGAAGCTGGGGAGACTGACTTGGAAGATGGCCAATGAGAAGATGAGAATTGGGGAACGGAAAGGGAAGGGTTTGGGGGTCAGAGGGTTAGTATCGGCTACGACGAAGTCGGGGCCAGATCTGTTGTACTCAATAAATGGAATATTTCAGCAAAGATTAATTGTTTGGGAGTGCAATTTATTTGAGATGACATCGAAACCTGACATACTGTTTATTATTTACAGTATGTATTTCCCTAAGCTTATACACTGTTTCATTCATGTCTGATTCTAAGCAGACCTCTGGAACAAGAATAAAACTGAACATAAGGTAAATATAATAATCTGATAAATAATTCTCCAAGCACCAAAGCATCCAGTGTTGTGGCCCAGCAGAGCTGGCGGCAGACTCGGATGGTGAGGAGGTTGGGGAGGAACCTGGGCCAGCTCTAGAGTCTGGGGAAGGCTCTGATGGATGCTCTGCATCACGGGTGAAATCCAAATTTTTCCCTACCGTGGCAGGGGAAGGATACTGCAAAATCTCCATTCCCACCCCACTCCAGGGGAAAGATACTGCAAAATCTCCATTGCCACCCTACTCTGGGGCCAGCCAGAGGTGGTATTTGCCAGTTTTCCGAACTACTCAAAATTTCCGCTACCGGTTCTCCAGAACCTGTTAGAACTTGCTGGATTTCACCCCTGCTCTGCGTCAGACGCAGAGATAGAGCCAGGGCTGTGCGACATTTCCCAGCCACCGGAGAGGCAGCTGCCATTGGAGGCTGATATGAGTGAGGAGGAAGAACAGCTGGGGCCTTTTCCAGATGCACATATGCGCAGAGCAGTTAGGAGAGGGGAACAGCGGAGGACAAGGACTCGACTCGGGAAGCAAAGCACACGTGGATGCTGAATGGCCCCTCCCTGGCTGGGGAATAAATAGAAGGAAAGGGGAGCGGTGGTCGTAGGTGACAACCGTTCGTATTTCTGAAGATTTTGCTCATTGTGTTTCGTGTCACAAAAACTACCTGCCAGAACTTAATTTGCAGCCTTTCGGCTGGGAGCTCACAGCCTGGCAATTATTGCAAGGAACTGATAAGGTCTGTTACTGCAGTTAACTCCTTGAAGGACTCTTGCTTGGACTTTTTGGTGGGTGAATGCCATTAATTCACAAGAGGTAAATAAAGAGGGGTTTTTCGTGACAAGGAGTCTGTTTCTGCTAAGGCTGGGCCAGAATATCCAGCAAGTATCATCCAGAAGAGATTACAATACAAGTAGACTTGAATTTACGACCACAATGGAGCCCAAATTTCTGTTGCAAAGTGGTAGGCACCTCTATCATTGGCAGCCATAGAGATATAGCTTTTCGTTCTTTCTCTGTAACAATATTGGAATGTTTTTTTCCCCTTACCTGCATAAACTTACGAGCGGTGATCGGTTTGCACCCTGAAAGCAGAAAGACAAACAATCAGCTGATCAGGACAGATCTACTTTCCATTGCTGGAGGGGTTTTCTTGCCAGCTATTTTGGTTAAAAATCCACCACACAATATTGCAACAGGCATTTTAATTACTTTTTTAAAAAAAAATAAAGCACAAACTTTTAAAGTTGGGTTAAAAACTTTAATCAGGAGTTTTTCTTTTCCATTTTTGAAAAAAGCCAATTGATTGATCATGTGCCATTAAGTCAGGGTTGATTCTTAGCGACCACATAAATAGATTTTGTTGCAGATGATTTAAAAACAAAAAGGAATACTTTCTGGCAGATAATGCAAGAATTAGAGCTGTCAATCCCTAACTGAAGATATGGTTGCTTTAAAGAGCTCTTGAGAGGTGCCAGATATATATGACCTGAGTATTTTCAGGTATCGGTATGGAACTGCATTGGAAGTGTTGCAAAACTTTAATAAAAACCATGTATAATTGTCTGCCCTTACTCTTTGTCATATCCAATCCCTAATCCATCCTTCCTCACCCCAATTAGAATCAATACTTTTCACACATTGAAGTGCCCAAGAAGTAAATATTAAGGAGAGAAACCTTAAACCACTGCAAATCAACCATACTGTTTCCCAACCCTGAACAGTAACAGCATGTCACTGTCGTGCTGTGAATGGACAACTCAGAATTAAAGGAACAAAGAATAAAATACCTTGACTGATACATTGATCGGAGAGGAATCCACCAAACAAACTGGTTGGAATTGCCACCAGCCAAGGAATTACATTAAAAATCCAACCCTGGAAAAAAGATACTGCAGAAATAAGTATCTGTAGAGCTTCCATGCTAAGAAAAGAATTACTAAGGCCCAGTGGTGGGATTCAGCTGGTTCAGGCCGGTTCGGGCGAGCCGGTAATTAAATTGCTGGCTCACCCCTTCCCTTCCCTCCCCTTCCAGGAGTCTCCACACGCCCCATTTTGGCTCCCAGGTAAGTGCAGGGAGGCTGCTTAGGCCCAAAATAAGACACGGGGGGTACAGTGCCCCCCCCCGTGGGCTGTTTTCACTCCCAGGCTTCAGGAAGGCCTCCTAGGTCAGGAGACAGCAACCTGCGGCTCTGGAGCCGAATGTGGCTCTTTCACCCCTCTGCTGAGGCTCCCTGTCACTCAAAATATGCATCACAACCGCCAATGTGCGACACCCGCCGGCATTCAATTTATTGAGCTTTTCAACCCCCGGTAGGCCAACCATAGGTAAATCCAAGAAAAGAAAACAGAACGTTTAATTCAACTACATGTGCTGGGTTTGTGGCCGTTCAAGAAATAGTCAGGCACAGGAAGGGTTTTGTGGCTCCCGGTGTTTTCTTTTCTGTGGGAAACGGGTCCAAGTGGCTCTTCGAGTGTTTAAGGCTGCAGACCCCTGTCCTAGGCCCAAAACGGGGCATGAAGGGGTGGCACGTTTCCCCCCCTCCCCGTGGCCCATTTTTGCTCCCAGGGGAGTGCAGGAAGCTGCCTGCCACACCCCCTGGCCACGCCCACCCAGCCGATCATTAGGGCAGCGAACCGGTTGTTAAATTATTTGAATCCCACCACTGCTAAGGGCCAGCTCCAGTATAAAAGTTTAAAGCAGGGACGTCCAACCTTGGCAACTTTTAAGACTTGTGGATTTCAATTCCCAATTCTGGGAGTTGAAGTCCACAAATCTTAAAGTTGCCAAGGTTGGACACCAGTGGTTGGTTGTCCCCAGTTCGGACCGGTGTAGAACCAGTAGTTAAACCGGAGGAAGGCTCCGCCCACCAACCCCAACGTCATCAGAACGCTTCTGCGCATGCGCAGAAGAGCGCACAGCAGCCCCGTTGCAAACAGGTAAAGTAGAGGTGGTAGTAGTAGTAGTAAAGTAGTAGTAAAGTAGTAGTAGTAAAGGTAAGTAGAACCCACCCCTGTTGGACACCTCTCATTTAAAGCATTAACTAGGTTGACTAAGTAGTATCAAATCATTTCCAATTCCTACTGATCATGGATTTTCTTCATGACCACCTATCCCTAGCCTGGTTAAGGTCATCTAATGGTACACTCATCACCCCTCTAATGGAGTCCATTCAACTTTGCTGTTGGTTGTCCTCTTCTCTTCTCTTCCACCTTCCTCAACATCAGAACCTTCTACAGAGAGTTAGGTCTTCACATAATGTGTCCAAAGTACCGGTAGGACAATTTGACTTCGGTCATTTGTGACTCAAATATGAATTCTAGGTTGATTTATTCAGTGATCGATTTGTTTGTGGTTGTTAAGTGAATCCCCCTTGACTTTGCTTGTCAGAAGGTCGCAAAAGGGGGAATCACATGACCCTGGGACACTGCAACCGTCATAAATATGAGTCAGTTGCCAAGGGTCGGAATTTTCATCACACGACCATGGGGGGATGCTGCAAGGGTCGTAAGTGTGAAAAATGGTCCTAAGTTACTTTTTTCAGTGCCCTTGTAACTTTGAAGGGTCACTAAATGAACTGTTGGTAAGTCAAGGACTTGTAAATGAAATAATTAATATACATGCACAAATCAGTGACAGAGGGGGGAAATGCGATAGCTCTTTTGTCCAGGAGCACTAAAAATCATTATTCTAATCTAGAAGAACCTGAGTTGCTGAAAAGTGACACATGCACACGCATGACGAAAAAAGGATTATTTTGTCACTGGCAGGTCTGACCACTAGGGGGTGCTCCTCTACCACAACAAGGCTTGCTATCCAAATTTCAATTTACAGCTGCCATCTTCCGTGCTTGACTAATAACCTTAAGTAGATGCAAACTGGAGACAAATTCCTGACAATCATTTGTCTACTTTCTACCACTGGCATTTATGCCTATTTGATTTCCTAGGAGGTGCCCTAAAAAGGAAGGCAATTGCGAACACAAGATGCTTTTCCAAAAGGCATTGAGATTTTCTTGATATTTGTTTTTTTTTTTTTAGCAGAATAACAGAGTTGGAAAGGATCTTGTAAGTCATTGAGTCGAAACCCGCCCCTCTGCCCAACTAGGAGACCCTATACCAGGGATGGTTAACCTTTTCGGCACTGAGTGCCGAAACTGAAGCCCGCGCCGGAGCACCGGAACCCCAGTGCGCATGCGCACTATGGCCAGCTGCTTTCTTCTGGGTTCCAGCGCACGCATGCGCATCGGCCAGCTGATCTTCTTGCAAAGACCAGCTGGCTGGTGCGCTGTTGTGGTCCGCCAGCAGCCTGTGGAGCTGGCAGCAGAGTCAGACAGTGAGGAGGCAGAGGAAGAACATGGGCCAGTCCTGGAGGCTGGGGAAGGCCCGGATGAAGGCTCTGCGTCGGAGGCAGAGATGGGGCCAGGGCCATTGGGGAGTGAGGTGTGGACTCCAGAGGCTCCAGAGGCTGACAGTAGAGAGGCAGAGGAACAGGAGGAGACTGTTCCTAGTGCACGTATGAGAAGAGCTGCCAGAAGGCAGGAGCAGCTAAAGCAAAGAGGATGACTCGGGAGTAAGGCCTGGAGATGATTGGCCCATCCCATAAAGCTTAAAAGACCAGCAGTGGCTCTTGGGCTCTTTGTCGGAAAACAACACTGATAGACTTGCTGCACTTATCTCTGGTCTTCTGCTTCTGAACTTTTGCCAAGAGAAGCCTTTGGCAGTTTGCCTAATTATACCAAGGTTGGTGATTAGACTGAAGAATTTGTGTTATGAAAAGTTTGTTTTAATTTAGTTTGGACTACGCTGAGAATGAGTTAATTCTCAGCTGTTCTAATAAAGTCTGTTTCTTTTGGAACTGTTTTCGTCAACTACTACCTACTTGGGCCTGGGTCACAACATGTGCATGCACGTGCTGGAACCCGGAAGAGAGCTGCTGGCTGGCGCACATGTGTGCGACGGAACCTGGAAGAGCAGCTGGCGACGGCGTGTGTGCCCACAGGTAGGGTTCTGCATGCCACCTCTGGCATGTGTGCCATAGGTTCACCATCACGGCCCTATACCAAATGGTATAGGGCCGTGATGGCAAACCTATGGCACGCGTGCCACAGGTGGCACGCACAGCCATATCTGTGGGCATGCAAGCGTTGCCCTAGTTCAGCTTCAGCGCGCATGTGCGCGCCAGCCAGCTAATTTTCAGGCCTTCTGGGCCAACAGGAAGTTGGGAAATGGGCTGTTTCTGGCCTCCGGAGGGCCTCCGGGGGGGTGGGGAAGGCTGTTTTCGCCCTCCCCAGGCTCCTAGAAAGCCTCTGGAGCCTGGGGAGGGCGAAAAACAGGCCTACCAGGCCCACTGTGCCATCGCGTGCCAAAAGCGGGGGGAGTGTGGGAGGGTTGTGCGTGCATGTGGGGGGGGCAGGGGGCATTGAATTGGGTGTGGGCAAGCGTGTGCGCAACCCCCGCCTGCGCTCCCCCCGCTTTTGGCATGCGATGGCAAAAAGGTTAGCCATCACTGGTATAGGGTCTCCTGCTTGAGCAGGGGGTTGGACTAGAAGGCCTCCAAGGTCCCTTCCAGCTCTATCCTAATTGATTGATTGCAAAGCTTACTCCGGGGTCGAGCAAAACCTCTTTCCCCCTTTCTCGTGAAGGATATGCGCTTACCTTTGAATCGGGAAACGTTTCACTGAAGAACGTCGGGAGCCAGGAAAGCAGAGTGAAGAAAGTGCTAGCCGCACACAACTGAGCGACAATCACCGCCCTGTGGAAATCCATTACCAGGTTCAGAGGAGCACCGGCGGTATACGGGCAACATTTTCTCAAGAACTTTGAAAGGGCCACGGCTCCCAAGAAAGACCATACAGGTAGTCCTCGATTTATAAACCAATATTGGGGACAAAATATCTATCGCTAACAAGGAGTGTAAGCGAGCGGTGCTGAATTTTACGGTCTTTCCTGCCGTGGTTGTTAAGTAAATGGCTGCATCAGTGAAATGAATCATGCAGCCGTTATGCGGTCCATGGGGAGGCTGCAATGGTCGTAAGCGTGAGGACTGGTTGGGAGTCACTTTTTATAGTGTTGTTGTTAACTTCGAACAGTTGCTAAATGAATGGTTGTAAGCCAAGGACTACCTGTATATGATTTTCCCTCCCTCCCTCCCTCCCATCCTCCTTCCTTGCTTCCTTCCATCTT